ACACACAAGTACGCACACACACACAATTGAAGGCACAGAACTAACTGCTTACTTCTTATCACTGAGAGCACTGTTGGTGACAAAGTCGACAATCATTCTGAATAGCGGCGACCGAGCAGCGTTCTGACTTTCGGCAGCAAACGCTTTCATCTAGGGAACACCAGTGGGGATGGAAACACACAACACACAGGAAGAAAACGCAACGGTGTGAAGGAATCCTACAGTAGAGGATTTAGACAGACAACTGAAAAAGCCATCTAAATCAAAGTCAGACGAATATATACATATGGACCAGCACTGCCCACTGGGGACAGGGCCACAGCTCTCACCTGCTCCAGTTGGCCTTCGGATTTGACTCTCTCGTACACACGGTCCCAGGAGTTTGAGCGAATCAGCCACTTGGGACGACTCTTGGTCGACTCGCCCTCATCCTAGCACAGACAAATGAAACAAACAGAAGTACTGGAATCAGGATTGTAGTGTACTGAGAGTCTACAAGTGTTCACACGTGTTCACACGTGTGACCTTGCACTACTTTGTACATTATCAGATGCAACTTACACCACAACCACAGGTCTTCTATTGGTGCAAGTCACCATCGTGAGAATAAAGAAAAATAGGATACGTCTGGTAATATGTGAGCAACGGGCATTGTACCATAAAATGATGTCAACTTGAAATCCTGCTGGGACAGCACCCATAGACAGTGGAGTTGCACACTCTGGCGTGGTTATGAACTCTTGCTATCGCAAGCAACCTTGCCAAGGCAAAACTCAGCAAGAAGAAGCCTGGACTGCAGCGTGTGTGGCAAGGCGTTATCTGCATGCAAGTCGACCTGCACTCTGCACATGTCGAACTGTATGCAACAGAAGCAACTTTTTCCAGACATGAAAATAAGAACGGTCTAGGTTAGGAGGCTGACCCCCTCCCCCAGTTCTTTGGCCACCGACAGCACTGTACACCAATAAATGAAGAAAGATGGGCCAGGCTTGGTTTGATCATCGGTGTAGCCTAGAGATCGTTAAAGAAAGCTGCTACTGCTGCTGCTGCAGTGGTGAGATTACGCCGTACAATGACACTTACTGGATCCTGTCGTCGACGTGACATGCCGGCAAACTTGAGAAGGAACAGTGCCTTGGCTCGGCAACTCTTTGCTGCTCGCCGGCAAGACGCAAGTTACAGAGTCGAGCAGCACGGCATCGAGCAGCACGACATCCAACAGCACGCACACATGCATACACAACAGTGCACGTGCACATGCATACACAACAGTGCACGTGCACATGCATACACAACAGTGCGCCCGTACACGCATACAAAATAATGCACACACAAAAGCCAACAAACACACGCGGGAACATGCCAGATTATTATGATGACCTCCCAATGATGATCTACTAGGATTACTCGCTGTTGTCTTCCACGTTGTCGACGTCGACGTTGCCACAGTACCCCTTCCAAGGACAGTCAACTTCGCTAATAACGACTGCGGATATAACGACAATTCGCGAATAACGACAGAATTTCCATGCCCAGAGCAAAGTGCAACCTAACTGTCTACATAATATGAGACTTCGGGTATTAAAGGACACCTCGCGAATAAGGACACTTTTCTGATGCCCCGCCGAGTGTCGTTATACGCAAAGTTGACCGCACTAGGATTACAACATGCAGTTGTCGTCTTTGACGTTGTCGACGTCGATGTAGTCACGGCACCCCTTCTAAGTACAGAGAAACCTGTCTAAGACAACCGCTCAAGACAAACCCATATGCCCTTTCCGGATTTTGATACAAAATGCTTGTCAAATGTCACCCCGTGCGTGTGGTCGCTTACCCGGCTCTTCGGGATCAATGGCTGCCTTCTCCTCGGGGCTAAGCTGCGCATCATCCGACTGCAGCACGAGCTGTTGACGACGGTCAACCTGAGTGAGTGTGTGTGTGTATGCAAAGCAAACAGCATCAGTGCCCCACACACAGGCCGGTGTAAGAAGGCATACCATACAGGCATTGGGATTTTATCAAAGGAGGGGGGGGGGGGAGGGGAGAGGGAGGGGAGGGGGTTAGGGTGACAACGGTCAACCTGAATGTGCAAACTACAGAAAACCTGTGTAAGAAGGTACACAACACCATACAAACATAAGGATTTCACTAAGGGGGGTAGGGAACCCGGAAGCTAGCCTGCGGATTTGGAGCCAGGTTTGAGCAGCGATCTCAGTGAAACCAGCCTTAGCCGACCGCAACGTCATGTCCCTGTGTACAGGTGGTCTCCTTATCCACGGTCATTAGACCGTATCTAGCATAAATCATTGGTCCTAGTTATCTGGGACAGATGGTCGCCTTGTCAGAGTGGTTGACATAAAACAGGTTTTAAGGTACTTTTAAAAAACTATTAGCAAAGAGCCATGGTAACGAGTGTGTGAGACTTGAATGATGACCACTAACAGACAACATGGTTGTATAATACAGTGCATTAAAATCGAGTGCAGGAGTGACTGCACACAGGAGTGACTGCACACAGGAGTGACTGCACACAGGAGTGACTGCACACAGGAGTGACTGCACACAGGAGTGACTGCACACAGGAGTGACTGCACACAGGAGTGACTGCACACAGGAGTGACTGCACACAGGAGTGACTGCACACAGGAGTGACTGCACACAGGAGTGACTGCACACAGGAGTGACTGCACACAGGAGTGACTGCACACAGGAGTGACTGCACACAGGAGTGACTGCACACAGGAGTGACTGCACACAGGAGTGACTGCACACAGCAGTGACTGCACACAGGAGTGACTGCACACAGGAGTGACTGCACACAGGAGTGACTGCATACAGGAGTGACTGCACACAGGAGTGACTGCACACAGGAGTGACTGCACACAGGAGTGACTGCATACAGGAGTGACTGCATACAGGAGTGACTGCACACAGGAGTGACTGCACACAGGAGTGACTGCACACAGGAGTGACTGCACACAGGAGTGACTGCATACAGGAGTGACTGCATACAGGAGTGACTGCACACAGGAGTGACTGCACACAGGAGTGACTGCACACAGGAGTGACTGCACACAGGAGTGACTGCACACAGGAGTGACTGCACACAGGAGTGACTGCACACAGGAGTGACTGCACACAGGAGTGACTGCACACAGGAGTGACTGCACACAGGAGTGACTGCACACAGGAGTGACTGCACACAGGAGTGACTGCACACAGGAGTGACTGCACACAGGAGTGACTGCATACAGGAGTGACTGCATACAGGAGTGACTGCACACAGGAGTGACTGCACACAGGAGTGACTGCACACAGGAGTGACTGCACACAGGAGTGACTGCATACAGGAGTGACTGCACACAGGAGTGACTGCACACAGGAGTGACTGCACACAGGAGTGACTGCACACAGGAGTGACTGCACACAGGAGTGACTGCACACAGGAGTGACTGCATACAGAAGTGACTGCATACAGGAGTGACTGCACACAGGAGTGACCAAGCGGGACCATGACCATCATCTCACTTACAAGCTGCCGACGGAGAGAATCAGCCGTCATGAACGCCTGCTGAATCTCGGAGCTGAACTCGTCGGGCACCGTCTCCTCAACTGCACACAGTTGCCATAGAAGCACACAGAGAAACACACACGCACAACTTTAGTGCACAGAACAGAGAGATCTGCCAACAGAACTATCACCAAGCACATGCCCGTACACGCACAACTTCAGTGCACAGAATGGAGAGATCGGACAACAGGACTATCACCAACCACATACCCATACACAACCCATGCACATGCGTAACGGGTTTCATAGTCCTGTACTTGGCCAGGACTATACAGCAAGGACACCCAAGGGGGGTGTACCAATGGGAGACCAGTTCATTTTTGGGGACTGTGCAAAGAGAAAGGAAAACCCATTAACGGAGGTATTGCTCAAAGTACAATTATGGATTTCGATTTATTTCAGCCAATGTCACTACGAAGACAAATGACACACAGCAAAAGGAGACAGGCACGTCCGGAAAGCAAACAGGAAGATAGCAGGCTTGCTGAACCATTGACTGCTGGAACATTGGCACACACGCACAACTCCACCATCACCACCGTCGCCGTCCTTCTTTCAGCCTGCTCATTCTGAACAGGGGCGACACACAAGGTACCAGTACGACAATGGTCGTACTGGTTCCACTTTTCGTCCAGGATGCATCGATGGTCCACACAATTCATCCAAAGCAATAAAGAGTGCTAAGATGTGCCCTGTTGGCCGAAAAATCCGAATTTTTCTCCCCCGGGAGACACCCCGGACCCTCCGTCGTACCACTTCTCATTGCCCGGTGACACCCCCTGCTTACCATAGGTGACGAGTTGTTCACGAATACACTGAGAGTGCCAGCAGAGTGCGGCAAACACTGCAGCCACGGCCTGGTTGACAGGCTCACCGCCTACGGGTGGAGAGCGACGCTTCGCCTGACACCTGCACAAGACAGTAGGCACACGGCACAGACCAAGAACACGATGGTCAGTGCACAGAGGAGTAGTAGGCCATCGGCACCATAACATTGGGCACGATTGCCGTTTGACTTGCGATGTAAAATAAAACAAATACAAAAATTAATACAAATACGGTGCCCTGAGGGGGCTCCTGAAATCACCACCACGTGACTGCATAGGTAACACAGAAGTGACCAAATCATAGCAGACATAGTGATGTCCGCGTGTTTTATATTCCTTATACAGTATAGTGGCGCTGGGTGAAATCCAACCTAGAGTGCAAAGCTGGTGCCCTGTGATATGTATTATACTCACGTGACTGTACGCATCATAGTACTTCTCCATGCGTGCGTACACCAAGTACTCCCCAGTTGTCAGGAGACAAGAAACCCCTTGGCACTCTTCATTGTTTTGTTTTATCTGGTTGTAAATATACTCTACTTCTTATGCCAGGACTTGTCTTCGTTGGAAAGTAGACTAGCAGTAACATTACATGGCGCAGCGAACATTTTTGATCCTTTAGTTTTGTAGCCTTTTTAGTTGCCTCGTTGTCATGTCGGAACCAGAGGGACTTGGTGCCGTTTCGGGCACGCGTTCCACCGAGCAGAACCAGATGGATTTATTGCTCAAATTGATGCAGAAACAGATGGAAGCATCCGAGACCCGGGATCGGGATATGCAAGCGATGCTGCAAACTGCGTTGAACAGGCAGTCGGGCGCTCCTACCTCGTCGTCGTCGAACCCGTCAGCCCCGTCACGTCCTCGACCCATTGGCCATGCAGAAGTCCCACGCTTGATTTCTTCTGCAACGATGGCAGATTTTGGAGCATGGCGTGAGAGCTGGGCTGATTACAGTAAATGTCAGCACCTGCAAGACCAGGACAAGGACGCCCGTGTGGCTGCTCTACGTCAATGTCTTGATGACGACCTCAAACGATTTATTCGTGAAGGTGTCATCTCGTTTCCGCCCACAGCTGACGTCTCTCAGATTATTGACGCTCTGCACCAGTATATGCGGAGTCAGCGCAACCCGTTGCTGGATAGAATAGAATTCTATAAACGCCACCAGGAGAATGGTGAAAGTTTTGACAATTTCTACACCTGCTTGCGCGAGCTGTATAATGCTTGCAATGTTGAGTCATACGCGTTGTGCGGAACCTGCCATCCCGCCTGTTGTGCTACCTGTCAGCACCTGGCAACTGCGTTGGCGAATGACACCCTCCGGGACAGAATTGTCATCGGCATCTTGGAGGACGAGACCCGGCATAAGTTGCTTGCGATGCCAAAGCTGACGCTGGATGCTGCCATCACCACCTGTCGATCAGAAGAAGCAGCCCGACAGACAACAGACAGCTTACCTACGCCAGGCTTGTCTGCGAACGCAGCTCGCCGCTCCACGTATCAGAAGCGGAAAACTCAGCCTACACGGGAATCAGGCAAACCTGGCAAGCCGAGCAGTTTCGCAAGTAAGTGCCGCAACTGTGGCCGATCACTGCATACCAAGTCTGTGTGCCCGGCTGCTGGCAAGGTGTGCCATTCCTGTAAGGGCAAGGGTCATTTCAAGAGCATGTACCCGAAGGCTGCACGTCCTGGCCACCCGTCTGGCAAACTGGCGCATCTCAAGCTGCAACGCGCTACTGTCCGCGGCCACAGCATGCTGGTAGTTGGTGTTACGCTACCCGGTGTACATAGTCCCGTGTCCCTCGACTGGATACCCGACACTGGTAGTGACGTGAACGCGATCTGATTACATCATTGTATGCGAACATGTGTACTGGAAAACCCGGAAAAATTTCGGTGGAGGTTTATTTTCCGTAACTTCGGTACCGGTAATTTTTACATAAAATAAACACGACCTAAAATTCAACCATGCCATGCCACACAGTGTGCAAAATGCATTTTTGGATCTGGAAAACTGGTTTACCGAAATTTTCGCGCTACCGAACCGTTGATTTTGGGGACCACCGAAAATATCAATTTCAACACTGAAAATTCCAGGTTTTACAGTGCGTCCAGCCGCATTCGTGCCGCTTCCAGGGCGTAAATGGCCGGGGAAATTGAGGGCGTCAAATGTGAACTCTGGGTTGAATTTCACCGAGCGCAACTGTAGCTATACTTAAAGGGGAAGTTAAGGCAAAAATTAAAATTTCACCAGTTGTAGTCTTCGCGGTGCTGAGTCGAATGGTCTTGGTCCGAGAAAGCTGAGACGCTCCCTTCCTACTTGAATCCCAATCGAACTCGCGCACTCCCACCGAGACTGGGTGACTGCGCCCTACTAGATGGGGATTTGTATGCAAAATGTCACTAAAAGCGCCGTTTCGTTCTTATAAAAGCACGGATGACCGCGATTGGCCCATATGTTGTAGTCTTTTGGACGCTGAGTCGACTGGTTTTGGTCCGAAAAGGCTGCGATGCAGCGTTCCTCCTTTATTCCCAATCGAACATGGTTGAACAAGTGGTCACGTGCTCCTGGGTGCCCAAATCACCTGGTCACCACGCCAGCAGGCGACAACTTTCACACCAAGGTTCAACTCGAGTGACAGGACTGCACCCAAAAAAGGTCAAACAGGCTAGTAAGTTGTACCCTGCAGGCACGGTGACCAGCTGACTGGTGTACGCAGGAGCACGTGACCGCTTCTTCAACCATGTTCGATTGGGAATAAAGGAGGAACGCTGCATCGCAGCCTTTTCGGACCAAAACCAGTCGACTCAGCGTCCAAAAGACTACAACATATGGGCCAATCGCGGTCATCCGTGCTTTTATAAGAACGAAACGGCGCTTTTAGTGACATGTTGCATACAAATCCCCATCTAGTAGGGCGCAGTCACCCAGTTTCAGTGGAAGTACGCGAGTTCGATTGGGATTCAAGTAGGAAGGGAGCGTCTCAGCTTTCTCGGACCAAGACCATTCGACTCAGCACCCCGAAGACTACAACTGGTGAAATTTTAATTTTTGCCTTAACTTCCCCTTTAAACTGAGCCGCGATCAGCAAAAACAGACCT